GAACTAGGAGACTCGGATATAAATTTTGGGAGGGTAGGATTCATCTTCAGCTAAAACATTCTTTTTCTTACAGGTTGGTTTGCCTTCAGATATGGTGGAGTCAGTATTTGAGGGAGTTTAATAAGTATTTAAATGATAAGGGTTAGGTTGGTTTTGAGTTTTTTCTATACTGAATGTGACAGCCTGAAATTTTATGTTACAGTAAAATTCTATTAGCTTTACTACTAGCAAAATAGCACTGACTTGATGGCTTGAGTGGTTTACCCACCATTACATACTGTAATTTACTGTAGGCATACATCACTAATGACAGTAGCTAACATCAAACATGTCAGTATAATTGTACAAAGTAACTGTGACTGGTTCATTCTCTATCTTGAAAATCATTCACAACACTTCAGATCTCGTAATATATAATCTAATTTCAAGTGTGCTAGAACACTTTATTTTACATTGTTAAAGGTTTTTAAATGCTTTAGGCCTTGTTTGATCCAAATGTCATTTGATCTATTGCTAACATGTAAAATAATTACAACATTATGATAACCCAAATGCATTATCTTGTGCATTCTATAATAAAAATTTACTTGTTAAATTGTCAGTTGATCCAACTCATTCTGTAATACCTCAACATTTTCATGACAATAAGCTGTACTTTAACTGCGATAAACAGTGTGGTGTTTTGTAACAGTGAGAATCCACAAACACACAAGTCGGTGGCAAAAGCCACCTGTGTGCTCCAAGCAAGAATAAGCAACATATTCAAAAAGGGATCTAACACCTGGAAAAGTGACACAAGTTGCTTCTATGACATTTATATTCAACTATCACACACACATAAAGCAGCTGGAAATGAAACAAGGCATACCAATCATCTGATGCAGCTCCTATGGTCATCTAGACAATTGGACTATTGAAATTGGAGTTTGGAAACCATTGTTATTGTACATTAGATGGATTATGAACAGAGCTGGTTGATTACCTATGAGCATAAAGATAGTCAGTTACTCAAAATTAGCATTTTTCTTATTATTACTGTTTTCTGATTATTTTAACTAACCTAGTAATCAGAATATTTCTATTATGTTGTTCGTCATCAAGCCTAAAGCTTCATGATTGGGGTAGTGGTGCCTTGAGATGTGATAGTCTTGTGTTTGGTTCCCATGGCAACTAAACTTGCTCACCCTTTCATTATTATTACAAAGCTACTAAGGGTTTTTGCCATTGTCACTATTTTGAAATGCTGACTAGAAGGAAAGCAACTGACTAGCAGCACCCACTTCAAATTCTCTGACTGTGTTAAAGAAAGTATAAATTTACTGTTTTTTCCAATTTTGTATCAAGTTTTTTATTTGTAATTGTGTAACTATGTTCTCTAATGTCAAATAAGTAGTGCAGATCTAGGGGACAAGGCCCAGGGTGTTTGGATTCAACCCCATCTGTTTTGTTTTCCAGAATTTAATAACTGCGTTCCATATTGTCGTAGGAGCATGTACTGATTTTTTTTTGGGGGGGGTATAAAGAATTCAACCCTACCCCTTCCATTTTTTTTCAAGAAATTAATAACTATTCTTTAACGTTGAAAACAGGTCCAGATTTATGGGAGAGGGGCAAACCCACATTATTTAATGTTGTATAAGTAGGGGCAGATCTAGGAGTTTTAACACCTCCAATTTTTCAAAGAATTAACTGAAAAAAAAACAACCAGAAGTCCTTAAAGTACCATATAGTATCAAAAACACACATTTTATGTCCATTTTTGTTGATTGGGCTATTAATTACTGTAAAAGCTCTCTTGTGATTTATTGAAACAAACACAACTGAAATATACAGCAATACAGTTAAGGCCTCAGCCAATTACTGATTATTTCAGAGCTAAATACATGTTGCCATGGTAAATTTTTGACTTTCTCCAGTTGCTAATGTGTATAGATTTCAGAGATTTGTTTCTGTCAAAGCTAATATTGTTTAGGACACCTGTGGCTGCTATAACATAGATCTGTTATAGAATTGTCTTTTCATTGTTTACAAGTTAAAATTCTCATAAATAGGATTATAAAAAATTTTAACATTTTAATTTTGAATATTTTGTCTTTAACTGTTTTTAATTTAATATCAATCACATTAATATAAGCTTTGAAATCTCTCACCCTGAGTTAATCATATACAGAATATATTATCATTATTTTATATTGCTTGACTTTTCTAAGATTACTTTGGGACATTGATTAATCCAAAATATTATGTTATTGTAGTGGAAGTCTCTTCTGTCTTGAAAAAATGCTGAACATTTTTTAACAGTGTTACACAGCTTTCTTTTAAAAGGTTAAATGGTATCATACCATAACTAGAAATGAAACGCTAATGCAGCTAGTGTGTGGAAGTTAACGTTACATATTAACACAATAATACTGTATTATCTGAATAGACTTTTTAGTTTTTTGTTATTCATTTCTTAATGGTTTTCAAACTTTACCTTACAAAATTATAGCTGTCAAAAGTTTTACATTTCTTTTAATGGTTGCAAAGCATTTGAGTAACTGTGTAGTTATAGATACATCACTTAAGGTTCCAACATTGTCATAATCTGGCTGATAAACTTGTGAAACAGTACTGAATTGTGTGGAATAAGAAGTCTGAAAAAATATAGTGTTTTTGCAACAGGTGACTTATAAATGAATAAATCTTTTATGGTTTTTAAGTATTAAACAATTCGTTTGTGTTGCCTGTATGATATATGTTCATGTACATAGAGTTTAGGATTAAAAAACTGACTTAATTATGAATTATTGTGCCTGAAGTTTGAAGACAGTTTTAGACACACAAATTTTATAGTCAATTTTATATGTTAATTCTAACTATATTTCACAATTTTAATTCAGAAATATTTTAGAATTAATATTTTGATTTTCTGACATTTATTTAGAATAATTCATGAAGGGATAAAAGGTTAATATATTTCCATTCATGCACAGCTGCATAGTGTTTTGCTTGAAAACAAAACACCCCTATTGTCATTTCGTTTTTTCAATTTTCCTATCCATCTAAAAGAATTACTTTATCTTTGCTAAGAACATATCACCCCTTCAGAATATATTGTCCATTTCTTGATTTTGTAAAGTTTCCCTGAATTTTTGGTTTAAACCTTATTATGGTGCCTCATCAAGTGGTTTAATCATTTACTAATAAAATATATATTTAAAACCAGCTATAAAGAAATTTCAAATGTGATTGGATATAGCAAGAATGCTATTATGCTGTGTCTTTGGGAATTGTGGTTTATTATCATAATACTTTACAAGCTGGTTTCATCCACTGAATATTTTCATGTCCTTTATCCCGATTTATGTTGGAATTCGAAACTTAAGCTCTTCAGTGTATTGAGTCCCCTACTGTGAGAATGTCATAGCTTCCCCTGTATTATTGAGACAAATGTATTTAGTCTGTTTCACAACCACCATATGGGTTTTATTGTTGTCACTTTTACACTGAGTTTTAAACCATTTGCAAAATATCAGAATAAACTTCATATATATAGACTGTTTTAATTCTAAAGCAACGACAACAGAAGGGTGGGTCTTACTACAAAGTAAAAACTGTAAGAAGGAAAAAATATAAAATTCGTATGTGGTACAAATCACACAAGTTTATCTTTCTAAATACTGAATTATATTATTATTATGAACTAAATATTAAAATTATGCTAAATTATTGAACTTATAACTACTAATTTAAATGCAAAAAAATATAAAAAATCACAAACTCTTTCAGTTCAAAGTGCTAAGCCTAATTCATGTAAAGACCTTGTACTTGCCACTTGATAGCTCTTAACCGTTATAATCGTGGGTCAACTTCTTTCCTAAAAAATATATGAAGATAGCTTTTATATGTCGGAACATCTGTTAGCTGAGTTCTTGCACAGATCCTAAAATATAGCGTTGATAAACGGAAACATCGGCACATGTAGATATGTAGATCTTGAAAGTGATTGCCTTACCGGCCTACGTTGATCTGACTCATTTTATAAGCTTTACTATTTCCTATAGATCATTTTCCAGATGCTTCTGCTATGATTAGTGTCTGGCAAAAAGCTTCAGCAAGTATTTCCTTTGCAACATCTCAACCAACAATTGGTCCAGTTATCAACGCTATTTTCAAGTTTTGAACAACTCTACTTTCAAGATCTATATATCTTTATGTGCTGATGTTTTTGTTTATCAACATTATATTTTAAGATCTGTGCAAGAATTCAGCTAATAAATGTTCCCGCATATAAAAGCTATCTTCAAGTTCTGTGCACCATAAAAATATATCTATTTTGAGTTAATTTTTTAATATAATGATTAATATAAATAGATATACGATACAGCATGACTTAAGTTACTATAGAAAAATAATAAAAGCCACATACATCTATCCATGGAATTTTTTTTTCAGAAATAAGTTTTCTAAGACTTATAGAAAAGTACTATTGACCAATACTAAATACAACCTCTACATAAAATGACAGTTGCTATAATAAGCACCACCCACATTCATGTTGTAAAATCCAGAGAACAACGTTTCGTCACGTGCTTTGCTTATCATCCTATGATTTGTCAAATGTGAGATGCAGCGACTGGAATAACATGGTACTGAAATTGACACTTTCAACTAGGATTGACTAAAAGTTTTACAAATGAGGTTTAACACACCCAGATGCTGTTTTATAAAGAAAACAGACTAGAAAAAGGTTTAGATACCAATCATAGATGGTAGTACCAGTACTGAAGTGGAAGAAAAAAAAAATTTCTTCCTAGAATGTGCTTATTTATAGTCTCAAACGTATTTTGGGATTTTGTTTTATTAAATTTCTCTTTAAACTTCATTAAATAATACAATTTTGTACAAATAATTGAATATTATACTACTATTTACAAAAATAAAATCTGGAATCCAATAAAAGATAAGTTCTCTATAATTTTTTCAATTCAAAAATGTGGTTTTTGCCCTCACAATAGGACAAAATGGCCACAGCAGGTAATGGGTTAATTGGTGATTCCTCAATAGCAGGGAAGTGGAACAACTGCCCTTAGACCCACTGTAAAGTATGCAAAATTTATTTATAAAAAGCTGATAAATGATCTGATAAAATAACTGAGTAAAAAAATAATCACATTTTTATTATCATATTCCATACGTATTGAGCAAGCTTTAAGCTTAATGATAGATAATAAGAACAGAGCTTTGAAAAACATACTAGTGAATGCATATGATTATATTTACAAAGTGTATAATACATTAACTGTCATTACAACAATAGTGGAATAGAGTTTGCACAAATCTTTGAAAGCAATGGAAAATAAGCTCAAAAAGTTATTAGACATCTTGTAGAAACTGATGTTTTTAAAAGTCATAGTCTTGGAAAAGTCTTAAATTCAATTTCAATAAATACTTTCTAATAATTGACTTAATAAAAAAATAAACATAATATTCAGAGATAGGAATATAATCTTTGAAAACTTATGGTGAGGCAATGAGAAATGATAACTTATAGGCTAGCTTGTCTGCCATTTTACTGAGCTGCACTGATTTGGATCCTGTGAAGTTATTACTGGATGTATATATGAATGTGAAATTTTGTATTCGGGTATTGTCTTACTTGTTGAGCTAAATGGCTTATTACAACTTTTCTATATCAACATTCTTTTCCCCTATATAGTCAATTGGAATATTTGGGATGTATAACCAGGTGATGTTACCTGCAGTTATCATACCAATAACCCTGTTAATGAATCATTATGGATCTAAATGACTTGTTCCTTAGTTGTAGAAAAGGAGATCTTAGTCAAATCAAGTAAGTGTCTCAAAGCAATTAATTCATTACATTGTTTATAACTAACAACAATTTTAGAAACAAGTTTTGTGTGGTTGTTTACAATTATTTTTTATTTATGTAGGTTATTTATCACCTTGACTGTAATAGTTTTACTATATTATTTTATGAAATAACCAACTATGTTACATATTGAGAATTTGAAATAATCCAAGGCCGCATTAAATAATTTAACTTTTAATAGTTGAGACGTACCTTGGATTTAGGTGTAGAAATATGCCGGTATTTAATTTATGCTATTCGCCAACAAGATTGACTCACACCATTTTTGGTTTTGACACAAATAAGCTTTAATATATATATACAACACGAAATCCACAATAACAGCCATTAATTATTACAAACAAAGTTTTGTAGACAGAAATTTCAATAACTTACAAATAGCCTAAAATTGTCTTTCTAGTTCAGAGTCTCCTTGATATCCAGCAAGGTGTACATACAATAATTGGTGGGAAACTAGCTAGCTTTGTGAGGCACTGAATTGTTGACCGTTGAAATACAATAATATTTTCATAAAATCACCAGTGTCTGTTGAAAAAGTAGTAATATTCTTGGAGAGCCATCAACGTTTGATGGGAATTCACTGACGTTTGAAATTTACAACTGCTCCCAGTCAAATGTTGTATATTTTCTGGTTGATAGGGTTAGCACAATCACAGTTATAATAGTTTCATAGTAGACCTGTTTGCTCTCTGTTTTCTGCTGCTTTTTTGGCACGATGCCCTGCCATTTTATAGGCTAGACACATCTTCTAGAACCTTCTAATAATAATAACGGATATGGAAATGGATAATATTGTTTATTCTTGTTCTCGAATGTTCTACAATCTTGGAAAATTGGCAGAAATTTCGCCATACGTAACTAACACCGTAAGCTATACACGCCCTCAAATATAAACTTCTGCGAAACAAACGTTGACATTAAAATGAATATATCACAAGTTCATTATACGCAACACATATCTGATAATACAAGTTATGCCTATTTCTAAATACAAATTCAACCCAAACAATGTTCATATTAAAAATAAATACATAATAATAAATTTGTTACACAGGTCATTTCAGTACCCTTTGGCATACATTTATATTAAACATTATAATACAAAATACACATCTAAGAAAAATAAACCCTTTAACAAAGGTAACATATTGCAGTATTAAAATTATAATATGCAATAATCAATGCCCAATGAAATCAGATTCAACAGTGATTAATTAATACTAAGTTACAATTTCAAAAATACATTCTTTACAACATACTGAAAATATATAATTGTAAAGTCATATATTGCACCCGTGCAAAAAAATTTACAAGGTCATGAAGGTACCTGTTTGAGTTACAGAAGATGATGGGTAGTGTTGTGTGCTCCATACGTGCAAGAACTTCTATATGGAGATAACAGATCAATATCCTTTTGAAACATGTATGTTTTCTAAGTAAAATATTTTTCATTATGTTTATAAATTGTTTTTCAATGTATTATCATTGTCTATGATGAACATGTTTGCATATAGTAACATTAATGTCTGTGCCAGTTACTGTAGTCTCTACATGTATGGTTGTACAATATGAGAAATGAACATGTGTCAAAATTAAAAGCAAGAATTGAAAATGCACAGTTAAAACTATTTGAGTGACAGCCAATATTGAAAGACTATACGTTTCATCAGTTTTATGCTACCATCATTAAGAGTAAAACACATGATAAATGGGTAACTTTATAAGGAGGAGGTTTAACTCATTGTAAATTTTTAAGGATAGTATTTCTTTCCAAAACTGTCTTTCAGTACCAGCTGATCCTTTATCTTTATTTAGAAAATAATTAATTGTGTTCAATTGTTTTTGGATTCTCTAATATTCAATTCAGTTTGAGTGTTAGGTTCATTTAAAACTGTTTCATGCTATTGTACCAATGGCCTGTTTCAACAGTATGTTCTGTAAGTGGAGAAATTAACATCTTTTTATTATATGCTATGTTTATTAAGATGATATTTCAAAGTATGTTTAGTTTGACCAATGTTCAATGATGTTAACATTAAAATTTCTGTTATTAAAAATGCTTTTTATATAATTCAATTCATTTTTCAAATTTATTGTAGTAGAACAAATTTTAAATGCTTCCTCTTTATATGTTTGAAAGCTGTAAGTTTTGGAGAAAATCTATGACATTATCTTTGATGTGGCGACATGTAGACTGAATGTGGTTTCCAGTAAACAGTTGTAGAAATGGTTCCATTATTATCTCTTTTAACAAGTACATCTAAAAAAAGTAAACAGTTATTTTATTCAATCTCATATATAAATTAAATATACTTAGAAGGATCAACATTATTTAGATAATCAGCAAATGTTTTTAACTCAGAATGTGTCATCCACAAATCTAATTCAACAAACAGGTTTTAAAGAAACATTGTCAAGAACAATATGCTAAAAACAATCCATGCAAGGGATAGTTCTTATTAGAAGCTGCTGTCTATAGAAGTCTAAAGAAGATCATAAATTTAATGAAGATTTCAGTTAATTTTGTTATTAGAATTACTGATGGAATTGAAATAAAAAATGAAGAGTAGTAAACAATTGAATTTAAAGCATTATGTAAATCTAAGAAAAAGCAAATTCCAATACGATATCTTACTGCCTTTCATGAAAAGCTTTCTTGATTAGTACTGCCCTCTATTGGCATAATGTTTTTGGCTCTCCATTAGCCATACAACTCCCACTTCTTTCTGCATATCAACTTGTAAATGATCATGCAGCAACATTACACCAATAGGAGTGCAACACTACCCCTATCGTAACTAACACCATTTCTAATCATGCACTTGTTAATCACTTCTTGATTGGCAGTCTTACTGTGCAAATGTGTTTGTTTTCCTTACAATTTACTTATTGTGTCCATGCATTTTTACTTTCATGTATTTTTCTAATTCAGTTATTGTTGTTTTTCATTTTTTTCTGGAGAGTCATGATTTATTTTCATTTACTCTCCCTTTTCTATTGCTTGTTCAAGTTTTCGACTTGGTGAGTTATGCATTTAAAGTTTCAGGTGGTCATGACTACCATAGCTGTTACTACTACAGAAGATTTACTGACCACAATTATTGGCCTCTGATGTGATGGCTATGATCCGAAGAGAATTGTACAATTTCAGGCAACATTCTGAATAACCTGATGAGTGTCCTGTCATAGCAGCACCTAGATGTGTCTGTATGGGCAGATGTGACTTTGGGCAGCTTTTTTTTCCCCTCCTGCATATTTTTATCTGTCATGTGTTATTTTAGGGGTCTTTCCCAGGCCTCCTCCTCCCTTTGTAGACTTAATTAATCAGGTATGTTGTGTTTTGTCTTTGTTTTTTGTTTTCCTTTCAGATTCTACCAGTGCCATCCAAGGGGATTAATCTTTGGTTCATTCTTTAGTTTCTCCTCCTTACCCGGATATTGTGGTTCTTGCTCATTCTTTTGGGGACAGTTGCTTTCAAGAATTATTTGGGAGATTTCCTGACCCTTTGTAGTCTGGGGTTGATTTAGCCCATCTACATAACCCATTTCCATTCTTCCCCTTACTATTCATTTTCTCCCCCCCCCTCATTGGGATCCCCTTTCTTGACAGTATTATTCAGAGGTGTCTCAAGATTTACTTCATAAGGATTCTGTTGATGAGGAGATCCTTGTCATTAGGGGGTTTGTTCTCATCTTTTTCTCATTCTCCAAAGATTGGAGATTGGCTCCTGGTATTCAATTTATCATCTCTGAACTGCATCCTCATCATTCTCAAGTTTGCTATAGAGTCGTACTTAACGTTTTGTTGTTTTCACTCCTGGTTTGTGGATGAAGTAGTTCAATGTGTCAGATGCGTATCTACATAGCCTCATCTCCCTAGCATCCAGACAGTTTCTTCCTTTTGTTTGTTGTGAGTGTGTGTTTCAGTTTGGGCTTTTCTGTTTAGATTTACCTCAGCTCTCTATGTGTTCAGATGAGTGGTCTGGACCTTTGCTTCACTGCTTCAACCCCAGGGCCTTCATTTACACCATTACATCGATGACTGCCTACTTCTAGCTACTACACGGTCCAACTTTGCCATACATATTCAGTTTCTTCTTTGGGAAGATACCTGGGTGTGTTAGCTTACCAAGGGGGGAAGGCATTCTGAACACTTACTTAATATCTGGCTCTTCTCAGTGTGTTTCTCACCTCATTTCTCTGTCAGGACCAGCCTTCTCCCCTTCCATTGAGGATTATGGAATATCTTGTATGCAGCATTTCCTATTCTTCTTTTCTTTGTGTATGTGAGGTTCTATCTCTTTTGAGGGCATGGGCTTCTCTAGAAGCCCTCATTCTTTTTGGACATGCCAACATGTGCCACCTTCAGTGAGTTTTGCTTGACCAATAGTGCCTTGTTCACATTCCCTTGAATGCTCCTCTTACCCTTTCCCTTCACTTACAGTCTAATTTTGACCGAACCAATAGTACTGCAGGATTTCCTCTTCCTCCTCCTTGTCTCGATTGTCATCTTTTTACAGATTTTTTTTTTTTCTGTTGGGGAGCATTTCTCGATACTCTGGAGGTTTCAGGGTGGGGAACTCTTTTTTTTTTCAAACCTGTTCTCCATATCAATCTTTTGGGAAGTCTTGTTGTTCATTAGGCAGTACTTACCTTCCTACTGGTTCTTTTGGACCAGGTGGGGATGATCCACTCCAACAATTCTACGGTAGTGTCCTACATCACTGGGCATCGGGGCATCCAATAGAGAGACCTTTATTTTCAAACTTTGAATTGTCTATATTGGCTCAACTGCCCCCATATTACTTTGTTGGCACGTCTTATTTTGGGTGCCCCGAATCTGGTCATGCATCAGTAATCCCATCCCAACGGGATTCTACCAATGGGGTAGTGTTTGGATCCTCTCGTTTTTCAGGAGTTTTGTGCACTTTGGGGTGTCTCTGATTTGGACAGTTTTGG